AATCGGAGGTGACAACTCTTCATTTGTCTGTGGGCCTTCCTCGGGCTCTGGCGATGCCTTTTCTTCCCCCGTGCCCCCGGGATTGCCGGTGCCAGCGCTGCCCCCTGTTGCGGTAAGTTTATTTTTGATCGCCGCCAGAAAAGTTGTGTTATGCCTGCAGTACACATCCAGAAGTTCCGTGGAATTTTTGCTGGAATTAAGCAACTTCAAAAATCCCCAGTTCTCCTCAGTGCAGTAGTCCATATGCCACGCCCAGCCCCCGCCGGCGGCGCAGCACAGCACGCAGAGGGCGCACACCAACAGCGCACGGCCAGCCATCGCCACACTCCTCCCACAGCGGCACACACACGCACAGCGTCTAGCGAGGGGCAGAAATAGAGAAAGAGAGAAAAAAGGACAAACACACATGGAGATATGAGGAGCCCGCGGAATGGGTGCATTCAACCAACACACACACAAACAGAGAAAGAAGGAACGGTCGAGGCATTGCCGTCCCGTTAAGGAAGAAAAGCAGCAACGGCAGAAGACGGCTTTGTGTACGTTCCCCCGCATGTGCCCTCTCGACAGCCCGCAGCGGCAAACCGCACACCGCAGCGGGGCTCAAGGGCCCTTTTTTTCCCTCCCGCCACAACACACACGGACGAAATGGACGTGCCGGCGGCCCCCCACCCCGCCCCTCTTCGTAGCGCCCACGTCGTTTGCTCCCACGCCGTTTGCTCCCCGACCCCGCGGACTCCCTCCCACGGCAGGAGTGTCGTCCAGCGGCCACGCGCCCCACTCGTGCACGGATGCCCCGTCACTCCCACGCCACCGCAGCAGAGAACAAAAAAAGAGTCATCGTCGCGGACCACCGGTGCCTCTAACGGGAGGGGGAAGGAAGAGGAGGAGGAAATGGGGGCGTGTCGGCGGCACAGCCAGCAGCAGGGGATCAAACAGGACACGAAGACACGCAGCAACAGCGGCGGACACGGCGCACAAACTCAAAGTGAGCCGCAGTGAGTTGCCCCAACGAAAAAAAACTAGAACAAAAGAAAAGAAATGGAAACCCCGCAATGTCCCTCCCAAAATTAAATGAAAACAAAAAACGAACTCACTTCGGGAGTGTTGTTCCTTCACGTGTCCAGCAGCACAAGAGGACTGTGAGAGAGAGCGTGTGTGTATATTTAATACCTGCGTGAATGAAAAAGCAAAAGAGGTTGCTTCAGGCCACGCATGCCTCTCCCAATTCATGCGGTGCTTGGCCTGCGCTTCTACGGCAGCTGCGTCAAAACCCCTGCGGCGCGACAGCAATGCGGCACGCAGCGCCTGTGTGTGTGTGTGCGTGTGTGTGTGTTCGTG